CATTGTGTACAGGAACATCTGCCCAGTGATAGGCTAGACCCTCCCAAGTCCAGATGTGAGATTCCACAGAAGGTCATGGAGAATAACAGGGCTAAGATCCTGTGGGACTTCCAGATCCAGACAGACAGGCGGGTACTGGCCAATCAACCAAACATCGTGGTAGTAGACAAATACCAGAAGACAGAGGTAGTGATAGATGTAGCAGTGCCAAGTGACAGCTACATCAGGAAGAAGGAGCATGAGAAGCTGGAGAAGTACCAGGGCCTGAAGGAAGAAATAGAGAGGATGTGGAAAGTAAAGGCCAAAGTGGCCCCAGTGGTGGTAGGAGCACTTGGGGTCGTGACTACACACCCAAACCATCCATCCATCTATCTATATACACATATACATAAATGTTGTTGGAGAAGAGTCCTGAGAATACTCTGGACAGCCAGGAAAACAACTAAATGGATCATCAAACAAATCAATCCAGAGTTCTCACGCGATGCACAAATGATCAAACTCAAATTATCCTACTTTGGACATATAACGTGAAGATCCAGCTCTCTGGAAAAGGCTCTAATGCTGGGAAAGGTGGAAGGAAAGAGAAGAGAATGACCAGCAGCAAGGTGGATGGACTCAGTTACAGTGGCAGTGAGTGTACTGTTGGAAGAGCTGAAAGAACAGGTTAGGGACACATCACTATAGAGAAAATCTATGTGGTCACTAGGAGTTGAAAACGACTTGATGGCACATAATCAATTATACACACACACGCATACACACACATATACACACATATATGTTCATACATACACACACACACACACACAGACATACATGCATACATATCTATCTTGGGCAAGAGATGCAGGGGCAAGGGCAATCTGACCCGTGTCAGTTTTTCCAACGATCTGCTCCAAACCCCGCCAATCCAGAACGCACGTCCAAGGCGTCGTGGGCCCCACGGAAGTCTGCCCGGCGAGGTTCACCCTTCGCTGCCCAGGCGGAAAGGAGCGAGGGGACGCTACAGATCGAGAGCCGCGCTGCTCGGCTACCTGACGGTGAGACCAGGAAGACGCCGAGCGAGCCCCAGAGCGCTCCCTAGTGTCCGCCGGCTGAAAGGGGCTGCCCAGAACGGAGGAGAGCGGAGCGGGGGCGGCGGGGACGGCCGCCGCCGGGCGACAAACCGCGGAGCGCCGGGCGTCGGCGGGTTCAGCCGGGAGCACCGGAAGGCCGGACCTCGCCGCGCCCCGCCCCAGGCTGGTCCGAGCGGACTCCGCTCCCCCCTCCCTTTGGAGCTCGGAGCCTGGGAAAACCGAAAGGGATGGGCGCAGCCGTTGCTCGGACTTGGCGGTTCGTCCCTTTGAAGGAGCTGCAGGGGGGGAGGCGCGCGTTCCCTTGTGCGCCCGGGCGTCACAGGAGGCCAAGGGCCGGCCCGCCCTCTCTTGGCCGGGGTCCGCGTCTTCCGGCAGCTGCCCTCGCAAGGCCTTGCGAAATCCAACGCGTGCCAGGGCGTCACGCGCTCCTACACGCGGGGTTGGTAGCTCGGGCTTGCAGGCTCTGTTAAGCTCCCAAAAGAGAGAGATGGTAACTCCGTGAAAAAGTTAAACTCCATGTTAAAGACAGTGGACAGCCCCCCCAGCCCCATGTTGATTGTCCGTAGGAACATCCCTCTGCCTGCATCCCAACCCCCACTGAGTGGGGCAGGACCTGTGGCCAAAGATCCAGGCCCCACAGAGAAGGAGGGGGGCAAATACTCACCTAGAAACTAACCTCTGGGGGCAAACAGGTCTGATGTCAATAAGAGGCTGATCAAGACAGGCTCCAAATGCTTGTCACAATACTATTTGTTTTAAAAGCATTTTATAATCTGGGGTCATATAATGCTCATGTTTTAGTTTTGACTTTGTATTATTCTTGTCTGCAGCAAATTGTGCTTATTCACCTGTCAAGGTATGGCTAGGAGAAGATAAGAGCCCTCCTGTCCACGATCTAAAATTACCTGACCCCATCATTTCATAAATCGTAGCTGTCTGCCTTTCCTTCCTCCTTTAAAAAAGTGTGATTTTTTACATTCTTTGAATTCTTTGTGTTTCCTGTCACTCCAGCACAGCAGTATTCTTCTCTGAATTGAAGCTGGGGAGGGCCGGAGGAGAAGGAGAAAAAGGACTTTTACCTGTTTCACTTCTGATTGATTGACTGCACAAATTGAGTTGGATAAAAGCTAAATCAAATAAGAGATGGTGATCTGTTTGGGAAAATGGAAGCAGGCGAATAAGTTGGGTGCACTGTATAGGCTTAATAGTAATGGAGTAAAACACTGGAAATACATGATGTGCCCAATATATAAATGGTTTGCTTTACACCATTGACTCTTAACATGAATTTTTTAATTACAGGCTGGCTATTGAGATAATGTTTGGCACTAACATACAAGGTTGGTGTGTTTAGTACAAATACAGTAATTTATGTGCAACCAAAGGGTAAACATTAAAGGTTGTAACCTGGCATCGCCTTTTCAATGGGTTAGGTTCCTCTCTTGAAGCAAATATCCATTTGAGTCTTAGGAATGAAATGCTGACTCCCATTATTCTAATACCTTATTTAATAATTACTTTAATACTTTGGACTACTAGAACTCAGAGCACATTCAGAGTATATTCATACAAATATTCCCCCTTTCCACGTTTTATGGTTATGTGGATAGTTGGCTTGTTTATTTTTTTCTTTGCTGCAGCTAGTTTATATTCGTTCTGTTTCACTGACTAAAATAAATACTATCTATCTATCTATTTGAGTCCCAGAATTAAGCATGAAACACATGAGAGCTTGTGGCAACAGTGGATTGTATAGTGCAGCCACTTGGGGGCAGGAGAATGCCTTCTCCCAGCCTTGCCAAAGCTAAACAAAGAACATTTTAAGAGCCATTCTACTGTTTTTAACAATACTTGATTTTATGAAACAATTATCTCACTCACTCTCTGTTTCCTCTTGTGCAGCTGCTACAAAAAAAATCTATACTGTACATTGTAGAAAATTTCAGAAGTCACTGTTAGGGAAATTTCTGTACTCCCAGGATTAAGAACAGTGCTTCTGTTATGATGCTGGGGAACATTATAGAATGCTGGCACTGCATTTCCATACAGCTGACACCTCTGTATTTACGTTTTGTTTATTTACTTTTTGGGATAGGTGGAAAGCTGGACTTGGCCTATTTTTGATCACCACATTGCTGCTATAGAGCTCTGGGTTTCTGCTCACCTCCCATATATAGCCCTGACTTGACCTCTGTGGCTTTAAATACATTTTGAGTCATTGCTTTAACAGTGCACCTCACTCATATTTTGAGAAGTCAGCATGCTTAACGTTCAGTTTTCCTCAGTGCATACTTTGTTATTTACGGTAGTTGATTTATTTATTTGTGTGTTTGTTTTGTAGGCTTACATTCCACCTTTCCTCCAGGAGCTCAAGAAGGCATAGATAACACACTTTCCCAGAAATGAATCCTAGGTTTACATAATTTGTTATCCTGTGCCAAAAATTGTTTCTAAGCCATGTTGGATATGGGGTGCTTCCACAGAGGCATCCAGACTCTCTGAAGTCCAACTCTCTGAAACATCTGTCTTCATTAATGCGTTCTTTGCAATGCTCATTCCTTCCCATGAACCAACCAGCAGTCCTTCCAGTTGACCAACAAAAGAGTGCCAAAATCAGCGTGTAGCAGAGTCCCAGTTCCATATTTATCAAACCTTTGTGGTGCTGTTTTGGCTTTGTTTTTGTTTTTGGAAGGAAGGAGAAACAAAGGGGCCATTTAATTTAAAAAGCAAGATTAGGAGAGCCACTTAATTTTTAAAAAGCATGGTGAAATATTGAAGTGCCTGACTTCACAGCAGGGAGGGGGGATGAAATTAGATTTCTCACTGATGAGAAACAGCCATATTGCAGCTCTAGCATTAATATTGCAAAACTATAACCTAATGCTTGAATTTAAGCTGCTTGGCTGTAGGCGAACACTAATGCTGTGAGAATACTCAAGCTCAGTACCAATCCCCGATCAGCAAAACTGCCGTATGTGGAGGAACCATGGGTTTTGAGGTGGGCACTTTATTAGCAGATTTTTGAGTAATGCCAGAATTGATTGTTACTGGAGACTAAGGCAACACTTCAAATGGCAAGTGCTGGAAGGTAACACCAATTAGCAGTTCCTCTCTCGGACAGAATTGTGTCACATGGATTCTCTTGCAATCCTAATTTACTAATTAGAGGAGCCCTCATTCCAGTGTAATGGTGAAGCAAGATTCAATGGACAGTTCAGTTGGCTTCTGTAAATGGAATTTATCTTGTCTTTGGGCTCAAGCACCAAATGCCTTGGGCTGGCCTTCATCTCCATTCAGGATCAGGGCACATCTTTCAGAAACCTTGTAGGATCCTACATCTTTGTGAGGAATCATTGTAATATGATCTCCCTGATAGCTGTCTCAGCCCAGTGTCATACACACAGAGCAGGATTTTTCTGATGAGCCCAAGTCAATACATGCAGATGGGATTGCCACCAAAGGAGACAAGTTAAAGCGGTGTTATCTGCTCTGCTGTGTCTATGTTTTAATGAGCTGCTCACAGCCACAACATTTCAAGTGTTTGGGGTGGTGGATGTGGGTCCTTTCCTACTTTGCCCATACAATAGTTCAGTAAAAAAAAAAAATAATGATTGAGCTAAGACATAGTAGATTACAAGAGAAAGCTGGGTTTCCCCTTTTCATGTTC